AAGGTGGTGTTAATCAGGGAACATCTTACTTAGTCAAAACCTAAAAACGCCCATATAAATAAGAAGAAAATTACTTAAATATCTTGTTTTCAACAGTGTCACTGACAACATAATCTCAAGTTCACTCATACTGTGCAATCATACTACAGTCACATAATCCAGTACAATTTGTAAATTGCTGAGCTAAAGATTTTTAATGATTTGTCATCATGACTACACACATGCCCCTAGCTGACAAAAACTACAAAGAATGAATGTATCCAGGTGGCCAAGTCGGTCAATGGCACCCTGACCTTTATCAGAAATAGCATGGCCCAGCAGGACCAGGACAGTGACTGTCCCCCTGTATTTGGCACTGGTGAGGCCTCATCTCAAGTCTGTATCCCTTTCTGGGCCTCTCACTACAAGGAAGACATTGAGGTGCTTGAGCATGTTCAGAGAAGGACAACTGAGCTGGTGAAGGGTCTGGAGCCCAAGTCCTGTGAGCAGGGGATGAGGGAGCTGGGGTTGTTTAGTTTGGAGAAATTGAGGCTCAAGGAAGACCCTTATCGCTCTCTACAAGTACCTGAAAGGAAGCTGTAGCCAGGTGGGGCTTGGCCTCTTCTCCCAAGTAACATGTGAAAGGACCAAAGGAAATGGCCTCAAATTGTACCAGAGGAGGTTTAGATTGGACATTGGAAAAAATTTCTTTACTGAAGCAGTGACTAGGCATTGGAACAGGCTGCCCAGGGAAGTGGTGAAGTCACCACCCCTGGACGTTTTCAATTGGTATGTAGATGCGGCACTTAGGGACACCATTTAGTGGTGAACTTGGCACTGCTGGGTTAACAGTTGGAACTCAATGATCTTAGAAGTCTTTTCCAACCTAAACAATTCTATGATTACATGAAAATTTGGAAGCTTAGCATTGTAGATGTTAAGCCTATTACTCTCATTACTGTGGCGTATGCAGTATCTGTACAGAAGCAGAAATGTGAACTAGAGACTGGCTCTCAAAACCAGAATGTAAATACTTCCATTTATAAAATATGGTGGTGAAAATTAAAAATGTTGCAACCAATAGAATTTAAGTCAAAACAAATGTGCTGATTAAAAATCCAACTACAAAAAAGGGAAAGGGAAAGTATAATAGCAAACAGATACAGATGTAAGGATTTTCCTGAGCCAAAGCCAAATTCTTTTCAAGCAGGAGAACCTTAATGAAAGACTTATCATAATGAATTCTGCAGTAGTTTGAGCCACCAGCTTGATTCTGCACTTGTTTCAACACTTAGAATTTTCACTTATGTGAAATAGATTTGGGTAAGAAAACAATGTAAAAGTGGACACAAAGGTCCACATTCAGTTTAAAACATTTACATTGAAGTGTATCCAAAAGAAAAATAATGAAAGGGTATCTTTTCCTGAATGTGCTTTTTAAGTGAAAACCAACAGTTCTTTTTGAAGAGTTCTTTAACACGAAATATAAAGAATGATATTTTTGCTTTCAAATGTGAAGAAATATGCCAAGAAAAGTTATCAAAAAAGACTTATCTGCTGCAAATATTCCAAGTTATTATTTAGTTTTCAACTGAAGAATTTTTACTGGAGTTGGAGGTTTCAAAAAAAAGAGACAGTGTACTCTGCATCACTCTTGTAATCATTCTCACTCTGAATACACTCAGCTATTTCCCTTAAAATGCACATACACTTGAACTCAATTTTAAATTTAGTGCAGTGAATACCTGGCAAATTCACCTCTCCAGTCCACAACAATCCAACTTATGCCACACCTTAAAACTTTTATTCTTTATAGGGAGAGTCCTCTCACCACCATCGGTACAAAGTTGATGGCATAAGATCTTATGATTCCAGAGTGTATTCTCAACAACCCCAAAGATTTTGTAACACTACACTGATCTCACAGCTTACATCCTCAAACCTGAGTATTCGCTTATGATACAAAGCTTTACAGTCACACTTGTAGTTTGATTACCTCCTGACATGAATAAAGATTTCAGAAGAGCATTACAAATCACTGGGGTACTAGGAGTGACTGATTAGGTAAAAATAATGGTCTTTAAATATTTCACCAGGTTTTAACATAAGTAGTATTAATTAAACATCAAAAAAGATATTACAGAAAGCATAACACAAGTTTGAACTGTGGAAATCATTATAGAGAAGCTACTGCATGTTATAAGGTTGGCCACAGACTAGAATATAATTCAAACGCATTATATTCTGCAGTAAAACATTAAGCTGTTAATACACTAACAGTCTTCAATTATTGATTGCTCTTCCACCTTTCAGAGTGATATATTAACAATTATTTCCACTGCATCAGTAGATGCTCTGTCAATCATGTACCATAATTCAGCAGGTGGTATCGAAACCAGCATAACTGGCAGACACGATTTTATTGCAATACATTAAAGATCTATTTATGTCAAAACTCTCATGCAAAAAAAAAAAGGAAGATATGGACAGCTTAAAAAAAAATCTGATTTTTTTTCTGAATAGCTTTATGAATTTGGAATAGTCAGAGCATAATTATTTCAACCACATCTGAATAGCTCTGATTCTACCTGCTTTTATGCTGTTTATGTTGTTGTCATATGAAGTGACATTCATACAGCTGATAATGTCAGAATATAGGAAACTAAAGGCAGCAGGGGTGTAAGATCCACTGCCTGCTACAGAGCACACTCTGTCATAATCCATGCTGGAGCCTGAGTCAAACCATTCTTCTGCTGTCAACAAACACTGGTGAAATAAGACAATATTTCTTCTCCTGTTGCTACTCACTCAGACTACATATCACCTTCCTACTACAGACAGCTAGCCTGTCAGTATGCATAGTAGAAGCCTGACTAAGAAAGCTAAGGATTTCATCAGTACATTGTCCATCAAGAAAGATCTGCTGTTGTAAAAATCCAGGCTATTACATAGAAAAAAATCCATTAATTTTAAAACCCCAAAAGCTAAGGCATTAGGATTTTAGAAATGTCAAATAAAGGTAGAATGGGAAACTTCGATTGTGCTACCTGCTGTTCATATCTCTTCACATCACACTATATATGTATGCCAAATAAATACATGTTTTCCTTCAGACTAATGAATCACTCAGTACTCAGGATGAACAAACCTCCCGGAAGCAGTTGTGGAGCGCTAATGACTTATCCACAGTACATCACCTTGTTTAAAGAAGGTAGAAGATGTTTAGTGAACGTGATAGGGAATTACAGTAAGGAGGAGTATGCTGTCATGCATTAAAACATTACTCTTTAGGAACAACAGCAGAATCTGCTTCTATCACAGGGTTTCTACATGATGACAGTTCCTTACGTATGTCATACACCACCTGCCAACCCCCAAGTTTCCCCAGAGGCTGAACAGAGGTACAAGACAGCCCTGTGACTGAAGTTAATCAACATAATGCTTATGCATTTGTCCTGAAATTCTTGACCCATTTAAAATTGTTCTTGGAAAATACAGCACTTGGGAGTTCTGCTAGGTGCAGACAGAGTAGTTCACATTATACATTCTCAGTCTCCTTTTTTCAACAGTGTCTTTCAGAAGAAAATCACAGATATCCTTCAGTCCAAGAGAACTGTTCCTGCATCCTGCTTCTTAACACTAACCTTCCCAAAAAGGCCTTGGCCAGTCAGACTCTCTTATGTCTGACTGGAAACACTTCCATCAAGTCAGAAGAAAAGGCCCTGATGAAAGACAGCAGCTGGGAGAAGAGATGCTGCTATGAATACAGGAACAAACTGAAAATATCTGGATGCTTTAGAGAAAGTTAGGAGTGGCTCATTACTCAAACAGAAAACATCCTAGAGAAGGTAGCAAGATCATAGGATACCTATTTCAGACTGCAACCAAAAATTTCAGTCAAATTATAGTTGTGCCTACCTTTATTTCCATGGTTTGTAGCTCAAGACATCTTATTTGGAGAAACACTGAAGAAGCACAATTGTGATTTAACAATAGTTGAAGACAGTTCTAACAATAAGATGAAGAGGAGGTAATGGGATCCACACTGACATTTTCATCTCAACACAGTGGTTGCTAAAGAATAAGTTGCTGTTACTCTTTGCAAATATTTAAAAGTAAAAAGCTGAGTAAGAAGGCAGACACACAGTTTAAAGGAAAGATGGATGTTGGCAAAATCAACTGACTCAAACCTTGTCTGCAGTGGAAGTTCTGGCCCTTCATTCTGACAGTTGTGATAGAGAAGAAACAGATCTCTTACTGTGTTCTCTGAATGTAGTAACATTGACCTTATAATAGGCTTCCACAGCAGCTGCTTGAAAGAGAGGCTGTTCCTGTGCTGTGAAAACCACTTATTTCAAATTATTCCATGTTGGTAGTTTGTCAAAAGTTGGTGTGTTTTTTTTCTTCCCTTCTCCTCTTAGCAAAGAAATAAATACTTTTTTCCCTGACTCACAAATGTACCCTGTAGTCTTACTTTTGAAAGTATCTGGTCAAATTTGTGTTCATTGTAAACAATGAAGCAAAGTAATCATTGAAGCTTTCAGTTCAAGTCACCAGCATTTGCTTTCACTCCCTGTTAAGAAATGGTATATTTAGTTTGCTTTTCTGCTTCTACTTTTAAGACTACTGGTACAACTGAGACTGTTCATTGAAAAACACAGCATTTACATGTCATGAAATTCCACAGACTCATATAAAAGATTTTATTTGTTTATTCCCCAAGATAATAATATCTTGCATAGTGTGTAAAAACCCAGAACATCTGCATTGCAGTTCATCTTCTACAACAACCTAAATCCTGCAAGGTCCTTCATAGGTATATATTGACTACTTGGAAAAGTGGCACATAAAACAACAGTACGTCCAACATCACCTTTCCAAAACATAATTCAACCATATGTAGAAACAGTGGACTTACAAACTCTAAGAAAGCAGGAAGGTGGGAAAGTCAAAATAGTTACTAAGAAGATTTCAATAATTCATACTCTCACAAATACTGTCAACCTGGACTTTCATTTTACCTTGAGAAGGTATGTAGGAATATTGCTGAAATCAACAGGCAACTTCAAGAGGAAGCGAGCTGAGAATTCTCCAGTCTGTGGAAAAAAGGTAACACTAATGAGATCTGGTGGCTAAAACAGAACTACAAATGTTCTGATGAAAAATGAGTAAGAGCTCATACCAAACAGAAGGGCTGAGATTTAAAACAAAATTGCTGAATAGAATTACTGAAGAGGAAAAAGAAATATTACAGATTTCATAGGTGTTACATGACAAAACACCTTAAAAACCATAAAGCATCATTGCCAGTAAGTCAACAGCAAAAAGTAGTTAGAACAAAATAATGTGCACGACAAAAATCAGACTATACTTTGTTCCACCCTAAATATAGATGTATCTTGGCTGTACTGGTTTCCGGACAAAGGTCTGGCGGGACCTGCAAATAGTCTGAAAGCAAAGCTAAAATCCTGACAAATTTTTAAGAGTATATAGATACAACAGAGGCACCTTTACAAACACTGCAGATATACATAAGAGAATTTGTGTTGAGAAAGGTGAGAATGTATCAGGTGTCCTCTGAATAAACATAGAGTAAAGAACTGAATTAGAAGGTTACAAACAATTTCAGAATTATGTAACTCTCAACACCTTGACAACTGTTTATCGAAAATTTGCCAAGTGTCCCCTACACATTGCTCTTTTTTTATGTATAAAGTGTATGCAAAGGAAATGGAAAGGATTTCCTTTCTGTTTCATATACTTCCTTAAAACCAGACTTTGACCACCTGGTTATGAAGCAACGAAGTTGACTGTTTTTTAAAAACAAATGCCTGCCTGATTTCCTTCATATTAGTTTTTTGTTATCTCTATTTTTTGTTCAATAAAGCAGCCACATAGCAGCTATATTTGTTCAGTAGGCTGAATTGGCAGCAAAGAAAGTGTTAAACATTGATTTTATGCAGTTAAATACAAAAAATTGGGAAAACTTGAGACAAGTTAGCAAAACTCTTTAACACTGCCCTATTTTTGACAAACACATACTATTTAGTTACATATTGACATACAATTTTTAGAAAACAGCACTCCATTTTAACAAGCAAAGGGACAAATCAAAGCTGCATGAAAATTCAGCATTTGCTCTACCACAGTAACACATATACACTACTTTGCTATTTCCTGAACATAGCTGTCTGCACCTAATTTTCATTTTAATATTTTAAATATTTTCCATAGCGAGAAGAAAAATACAGATGTCAGATAGACACCTTTTGGGCCACTGCCTTACCACATGTAGTAGATGCCATCACAAGAACACCACACAGCTATGAGGACAGCTTGCCAAAGGCTAAACTCCTTAAGAGGAAAGCATTCAAAGTGTCCTGTACTGGTACCAAAAACTTGTCATACGGTTTTGCAAAACAATCAGTACTCTTGCCTTCCCTGTTAATTAGCTGTGCTCATCCATAAACTGCTTTGAGTTCAGCATAACAGACAACATGAAGGTTGTCACTGGCCATATACTACCAGACCATAAGCCTCTGTAATGATGGACCACATCAAATGCTATTCATACTGATTCAGAAAGGAATTGGTCGAACAAAACCCTGAAGGAAATCAGCCTGCCGATGCAGAAGCCTTTCTGAGAAAGTACTGGAGGTCAAAGCCAATGGAAACTGCCTTTCCAAAATGAATAGTAAGCTGCTAAGCAGGGCAGCTGAGGAATATAAGTGATTGTTTGGTCAGCACATTATTTTCTGTGGTACTGACATGAAACAAAACTGAGAAGGAAAAAATTCCTTCATTTATGTTATGACTAAATTAGAGAGATGCTGTATTAGGCAGATACAGAATAAGCAATGTTAATGTCAGTGCCAATTCGTTTCTTGGTCTATCTACCAGGCATGAACTAGCGATAACTCATTCTACCTTCAAGCCACTAAACAAGAAAAATAAGACCTGGAACGCAATCAAAATCTTTCCAATGGCACCCTTTCAAGTTATAAAATTTGCCATAAGGGTTTGTGTGTTGCTGGACTGTAATCCACCCTGCTGCCAGTCAGCTCAGAACTGCCCTTAAAATTTGTCCCTGGTAGTCACACGAGACAGGCAAAGAAATCGCTCACAGAAACACTATGCAACAAGAGGTGAGTGTATATTAAATTCCAACTCTGAAACCTTTCCTGATGATACTACTTGTGAGGACAGATGTCAACTTTCTAATGCTAGATTACTTATTCATGCAGAAAAATCACTGACTTCTTGTACACAGAAAACATGAGGACTGCTATGGTGACAGTCAAGGTGCTTGCTTTTTGTTCAGAGTGAAATGGATATTATATACAGAGCTTCTCTTCTGGACTTACAAAAATGCCACACAACATTTCCCATAAAATCCAGAATTTTTTCTGGTAAAATACGGAGTCTGATGAACTGGGATAGCCACGGAACAGATGAATGGTCTCTAATAACAGCATCAGCTGCTCCACAAAGTTGACTTTCAGTTTAGGTTTTTTATGTCATTCGATCAAGATTATTTTGCTAAGTTATTACTTCCAAAAGTGTTCTGGCCAGACAGGGAGCAGGCCCTGTCCATGGTGCTCGCCTACCCATCCCCAACCAGCTGGATCCAGACATCAGTCAAGAATGATGAATTTCTGGCTACAGCACTGAGAAATTAGGTATTTAATGTGCTCCTGCACCAACTGGTACTGTGCCAGCATGATGCTACTAGGCTAAATAATAGTTTGCCTATTTGTCATAGATCTAGGACATCACTTCAGGAAATTAGATATAATGGAACAAAGGTATAAAAGCGAATTTCTGTTCCATTTTAGTACACAGTGCTAAATTCAGGCCTCCTCTCCCAAGTTGTTTTAACTCACACACCTAAGATGATTGCTTTTATAATACTTTTATTTCAGAAATCTCCTGAACAACTATCGATTCCTGATAGACAGCAACAACATGAATTTCAATGACTTCTAGGCAGAGGAGATAATGGGCAGTTTACCTCCTGCTTTTTGAAAAAACGCTCCTAATTTGCCGATCCTCAAGGCTAACAAAACAGTGGCAAAGGACAGGAAGGAGAACTACACAAGTTAGTTTCATAGTTTTGTTTTAGGACACTAACAAACAAGCCTCTGTCATGTAGATACCAGGGTCATAGAATCACCAAACAGGACTCACAAGAATCTTATTGACAGAGAATGTAAACTTGGAAAACAAAGTATATGCTATGGAAACCTCCAAAATAGCTTTGCAATGATGAAAAGGATTTGACTCAAAAAGTATTTAAGATTTATTTTATTGGAATACTTTTAACTAAGACAGCATTTCAAATTTAAGAAAAAAAAGTTCTTTATTCAGTCACCAAAGATTCAAAAGGCTTGAGTAGATATGTCTTTCCTATGGAAAAAGGAGAAAAGCCCTAATTTTCTATCATCTTGAGGAGAATTTTTGCAGCTGGCAAAATCTATGATAAAATCTCAGTACAGTTTAGAAAGCCTTCTGTACTTCAATAAACCACTCTAATAAAATTTAGAGATGTAACAATTTGTTTGTGGTGCAAGCTATGGAGAATAAAATTTATGAACAAATTAATTTTAGAGAAATATTATGATATATAAACATAAAAAAAAATCTGAATTTCTCTGATGAAGAAAACTTCACTTGGGTTGAAATTAAAAAAGCTTAGATGACTTGTCTAAGGAAAGAAAAACAGATGAACGTAAAAACAGATGAACGTAAGTAGTGTGAGTTGTAAAGAAAACATCCTTGCATCACCTGTAACTTAAGGATGATTAAAGTGACACAAAGCTGAATTCTAGGCCCTGCTAACAGGAGTGCTGAATTTTCATCAATTTTCAGACTGCATCTATTTCAGAAGATTCTGCTTCTGGAGGCCAGTTTATCTTACGAGTATGCCATTTCTGAAAGCAAGAGGGAAACACGTTCATCATAACCACCATTAGGTATTTCCTGACATATCTTACTCTAAACTTCCCATGATAAATATTTTACCAGTGGAAAAAACCCCTGATTTTTGCAAAGCTTACTCTGTGGCAGAGATCGATTAAAAAAACCCAAACAATTCACACACAAACCAAAATGTCTCCATTGCCAATGGTCTCATTTTAGAAGGCTGAGATGGCATACACAGAGTGTTTCTATACAGCACGGCACATTTCCCATGCAAGGGATATAACTTCAGCAAACAGACATGCCATTTTATTGTCTGACTGTCCTATGAACGCATGGTCCTACAAAGTCACTGCTCTAGCCCATCTTGCCTCCTTCTGCAGAAAATTAAGTTGGGTTAGTTTTTCCTCTCCAGTATAGGTTCCCAAAACTCCTCAGTTTAGACAAGTGCGAGAGAGATATTGTCAACTGCATCTACCAACTAAATCAACTCAATCATAATGTATCATAACCACACCCTGACACATCCTACCCCTAAGCAGGCTGGTTGGCTGGCAGGGTGTCATACCAACATTGTTATTCTACCTTTCGAATCTTCAGAGCTAACTCAAACTTCCACATAACACTGTACAGGCTTTTCAACAGTTTCAAAGTTTTCATCTGTAAATCAGACGAATGAGCACCAGGTTCAAAAACAGTGGCTCACCTGGAAATCCGGTTCAACCAAGGTAATGGAATCACAGCAACATACAAAACAGGGAGTATAGAAAATGATCTGGAGTAGAATAGAAGTTTTCTCCATTGGAAACAGAAAGTATGACAATCCACAATAAGAACTCAAGTTTTCCAAGGCAAGAGCTGTATTTGTTAAAAGCATTTTAGCTGAAATAATAGCTTACCCAGTTGTTTTTTTTGCCAGCATAGATTTCCATGTTTTCTCCATACTGGGGCTCTTCAAGTAACGTCTGATATTCAAACATGAGACGAGAGCTCTCACGTAATCGGCCACACTGAAATTGGTGATACTGCTGCACAAGCTCTTTCACAACAAGCAGGAGGCATTCAGGGTTTGAAGGATTCCAAGAAGCTAAATTCTGTTTAATTAGAAAAGAACGGAGATCAGAATTGTTTACAGCAACAGAAAGACAAGCAATCCCCCTTCTGTACGGATATGAGAGGCACATATGCACGCGGGAACTTTGTGACAAAGCTAAACCATAATATTAAATGGAAAGGTTCTACCATGCTTTAGAAGAAAACCAGGTGAAACAGCAAAAACTTAATGTCGAATAGGAGACCTACCATAAAACTGATAACAGGGCTACTACTAGGCATACATAGGTCTGAATTACCATTTTATTCTTTCCTAAAATTATACTGTTGCATCTGAGAACTTGAAAAGTTTGAATTAAATGATGACTGATATGAAACACACAAGCATTAGGTAAGCACACTCTGCACAGTAACTAATTTAAAAAGCAGTCAACCAAGTGAGTATGCCAAATTGACACCAACTATAGAAACTGCTCTGCTTCACTATTCAAATAGTGGCTGTAGTATTCACAGTGATGGAGCAAACGGGTTCTCTTCTCTTGCCTCGACATTGTGATTTATATCACTTTAACCATCTCTTCACCAGAGTTACCTTGACTCATCCCCTTAACACAAATGCCATCCAAACACACAAGTCTCTTCAATGTGCCTCGCGGAAATTTTTATTACAAGTTGACTGTATTTCAAGAAACACAACTACCAGAAATAAAAATGATAATACAATTAAGATAACTGTCAGTAGCACAGTAGCAATGTTATCACTCAGTTTAACTACTCTTAACTACTCTGGGTTGGACCAGTCTTCTGTGCACAGTAAGTTTTATTCAGGAAGGTATTTGACGTTACAAATCATGCCTAACATGACCCATGCATGCCTACATCTAGTTGACCAAAAATGGACCTGTGTGAAAGGCAGATGAGGACCCACCTATACTCTGTGCTCTTAGAGCATGAGACAGTATTGATGCAAAAGTACTTAGGTCCTCATATGCTTCATTCATGGGTCCTCAAGAGGGTCTTCTTGATGCAAGCTCAGAGCATGTTAATGTTGTCATGTGGCTTTTGGTCATTTTTGAGTATAAGCAAAATTAATCTGTATTTCATAGAATCACGGAATGGTTTGGGCTGGTAGGGACTTTAAAGATCATCTAGTTCAGGGGAGGGATGCATTCCACTAGACCATGTTTGTTCATCCAACCTGGCCTTCAACACTTCCAGGGATGGGGCATTCACAACTTCTCTGGGCAACCTGTCCCAGTGTCTCACCACACTCACAGTAAAGAATTTCTTCCTTATATCTAATCTTAACTTACCCTATTTCAGTTTAAAGCTGTTACTCCTTCTCCCACCACTCCATGCCCTTGTAAAAAGTCCCTCCCCAAGTCTCTTGAAGGCCCCTTTAGGTACTGGAAGGCTGTATATGACACAGACATTTGACAACAAACTCATTCCAACAGGATTTTAAATTGCATGGATTGTACAGGGAACATTAAGAAACTCAGAACTGGCAAAGATGCCTGCATTTTCCAATTAAGTGAAGATATAATATAATAGCTTCACATACAATTTCTTATCTGTATCTGTAACTCAGTGGAGTTACAGACAGCATGTTACTTTTGTCCTGTAAGTTGCAGACATTTCATAAACAAATTATATGCATAATTTGCATTCTTCAGCAAGGACAAAAAAAAAAATCAATGGTCATGTTTTGCCTCTTCATTGAAAAAACTGCTTTGGTATGCAGCATTTTCTACAATGAAAGGGCAGAAAATATTTCTGTACTTTGAAGTAGATATCTTAAGTCTGCCTTGTATTCAAACATACAAAAAATGGCATTTCTTAAGCGAGGTTACATAAATGAATGAACATAGATAAAACCATGTCCCCCACAATACACAAGCTATTTATATTTTGTGTAACACCAAAAGCAACAAATACAAGTGAATGGGTTGCATAGAGAAGTCATCGAGTCTCTGTCCTTGCTATCCTTGAACCTCTGCCTTTAGAAGCTACCGCAGTGCCACAGACCAGACATTTGACCATGGCTTGACACAAAAGTACTCTGCTCTTCCCCCTCCTAGACAGCAGGAAGATCTATAAAACAGGAATGTTATCAGTGTCATATCTTAAAAGGTAAACTACACTCCAGAGTAACTGGTGAATGGGGAAGAAACTAATGTGTTTCATGTAAGTTCCTCAAATACATACTACAGAGTGACTGAAAGCCTTGTTCTGCCTTGTCTGCCATCTACAGCTGGTAAAAATTTATTCTCAACTTGAAACCATTTAAGCTTATCCGATTCTATAAAATCCTAGAGAAAATCTGTCAGGTAGACAGCATCTTCTAGGAAACACATTTTCTGTCATGCAGTCTGAAACCAGACTGAGTATAACCTTAAATTTCCTGTTCCCAAGCTGCTGTTCAAATAAAGCATTTCCAGAAAGCCAGAGGATGTAATATGCCAGTATGTATTGATATCAGCCAGACAAGTGGGAATAACCTTTCCTCCTAATGACATTGGTATAACACAATAGAAATGTTCTGTCAAAGGAAATGACCAACAATATTTTAATAGCTGACCTAAATGCAACTGAACCTTTTGTTTTTTAAATAACGTTATACTACCTAACAAAAAAAGAGCAAGAGGAAATCCATTGTCAGTTTTGCAGCACAGAGCTAGAGTAGTGTTCTCTTCAAAGAATTCAAGAACACTGCATCAAAACTGCTTATTTTGTATTGCCTTAAAGCTACAGGAATTAAAACGAACGATTTGACTGTAGGATCCTTACTAAACAGCTTTCATTCAGTAACTGAAGTTTCAAAGTACAAAGTGGTTATAAAAATAAATCACCTGGAGAAAAATTCAACTACACACCCCATATACAACATATTCTCACTGATGAAAGAGTAAACATACAATGGCTATACAAATTTTCTGTAACACGAGTTCTAATTTATATAAATAATTTTTAGCTTTAGAATTTATTATTGTAGTGCTTGTTACTTGGCAATGGTCATTGTATTTCTACTCATTTTGCTAACTTTGCAGAAGGGTTGTTCTTTTCAGAAGACCTAAACTCATTAATTTTAACACAAACACTACTGAATACAATGCCATGTTTATGTATGAAATTTCTTTTTACATATCTTAGTGTACCTTATCTGCCCTAAGCATTAGGTTCATTCACTTGAAAATACTTCTAAACAATTTTACTGTGATCCAATTTCATCAGTATGTCAAAATATGTGCTATATTGTTCTCAGTTTCAAAGAGCACCTTTTTTAATATTCCTTCTATTTTTGAAATCAAAGACAAAGTAAGCAACTACCTGTAACATATACACTGAAACCTAAGGTAGAATTTTGATGTTTGTCAAGTTTACCCCTTTTAGAGTGTCTTCACTGCTACAATTTCAGCATTATAAAGATTATTCCGAGAACACACAAGTATTTGTAACTTCAGATGATGAGAGTAGTGCCCCTGCAACAGGAAGTTGACCTCCTTTTTTAAAGGTAAAGGATCTTCTAAATAAGATCTTATTTAGCGATGCAGTACTGTATTCACTATTAGACTTGGGAAATCGTTTTAATCAGCAACATCTTAAACTAAAGGCTTTGGAGCAAAAAGAGTAGTAGCTTGTGCACTTCATTTTTAGATTGTTTGCCTGAAGGTTGCATTCCAGCCCTAGCCAGTCCAGCTTTATAAGAGATTGTATTTAAAAATATTTAAAGCATACGAACAGAGTGAGTTCTACAGCTTCAAGTTCTGCTACAGAACTCCCATCTTCTATGAGAATTAAGTTCTGAATGCAACTTCAAAATTATGAGGTTTAGTTGTTAGAACTTTAGAAAAACCTGGAAATACAACCACAGACAGACTGTTGAAGTCAAGAAGGTATGAAAAACACAATTAAAGAAATAACCAGCAAATATGTATACAGAAAAAGACTTGCTGCTATCTGTGGCTTCTATCAAAATCTCCTTCTGCCTTCCTCACAAATTTATACTTTCACATCATTTTACAAAAATCACATGCATGCTGAAAAGAGAGGTTTTTGTCTGAATTTGCCATAAAATTGTGATTTAAATGAATTTTATGTAGAAAATAATGAGCACAGGTACTGACAGACTAAGTTACATATTTTACTCAGTAAATCCTGCCTAATTGGAAATGAGATTTCCACAGACTTTCCAGAGAGTTAATCAAATATAACAATCACTAATGCATTTAAAATAAAGAAATCCAGACTAGGATACAATTCCTTGCCTTGTTTGACAATAGGTATCTTTAAGTGCACTCTGCAGTGCAAATTCACTAAGTTACTCAATAGTTAGCTGGCCAGACTGAAAAGGGCCCACTGTACAGCAAAATACAAGTATGAATCAATCCAAACTGTGCATCTGCAACTAGTTATGTATTCATGCTCATCTCATGTGAAGGCTTAATGCACATCTCAGATTGGTTATGACCATCTTTAATGTTACAACTCTTTCAGTGCATCACCAAAGAACTTACCTGTCATTTCTGAAGACACAGATGGAGGTTCAATTAAACAATTCTCTACTGTCTAGACACTGCTTGCATGTATCTCCATGATCTCCACTAAAACTAGGAGCAACTTCATGTTTCAGATCTTAATTTCAACATTTTAATTTTTAATTTCAGTCTTTACTTATGGCTTTTGGCCTGCCCATACTGCAACTTGTGCAACTTTCATTTTCTAAAAAGATCAGTTGTTGCCTCATCTTAGGAGATATTGTGGACACAAAAGCCTGGTAAATGTCATCTGTGAAAAGTGGCTAATCCCTATTTTTCCAATTAGGGAATGAATTCAAAATGATCACAGAATACGCTGAATTGGAAGGGACCCACAAGGATCATCAAGTCCAACTCTTGGTCCTGCACAGGACCATCCCCAAGAGTCACACCACGTGCCTGAGAGTATCATTCAAACTCTTCTTGAACTCTGTCAGGCTTGATGCTCTGACCACTGCCCTGGGGAGCCTGTTCCAGTGCCCAACCACCCTCCGGGTGAAGAA